CACGTGTACCACAATGCAGACGGGGCCTTGGTTTTTCGTCGCATACGAACTACTAGGCTCTCTGTATGCCCTGCACCACTGACAAGGGGATGTCACGCCGGATCGATCCGGGTTAGCGAGCCAGCGCAGGCCAAACCAAGAAATGGGATTGAGAGGTAAGTGGGGTGGGGGGGGGGTGTAAAATCATAAATCTAAATGTATTTCTTGATAACATGATAAATTACAATTCACGATACTATGATTATACTGGATAATATACAATTCGTGTAATACGATTGTCTTTATAGGTGGAACAGTCTCCAATGGATTACATAAAATATATCATTTAGTCATTAAGCATCATTCACTTGTTCCTAAAATCAAATTCTATTTTAATACACTACCTTGTTTGAATCACCCAACAAGTTAAATGTTCCAATGCATTAAGTTCGGAGATTGACTGTAAATGAGGTGGTTATCAGTAATTGTATTAAAGAAATATTACAGTTCAAATCATGTCAGTAGTACATGTTATATTAGTTATTCTGATCACACCAAGTCGTACAACAGCTAATAATCACAGCTAGAATTCATCTAATTACTCAATCTAATCTTAATGTACAATATGACCTGCTTAGCTTGTTAATGCTCTCAAATCAAAGCATGTCTTAATAACAAAGTCATTTCGTTTGATTTATTGAAGAAAACGAGCACGATTCTATGCTGATTTGCCGTTAACTCGAATCACGACAATCATACAAGAGCTCTAACCAGGCACGTGTGTTGCTTATTGCCACAAATTTCAATACAGTTACTTACATTATTTAATCTGGTTCCAATGCCATCATTAAGTCAAGGGGTATAGTAGTTGACAATTAATGTGAAAAAGTCCGTATGTTTGGCAAATCTAAAACAGAGTTTGTATAATTTAAATTTTCAACGTCTTGGCATGCTTGATTCCAGACATACAACAAAGTCACTAAAAACCAAAACTACAATCTAAAAATAGTGAATTACAAAGTAGTTATTAAAAGGAATGTTCTTGAGAATCGATTGACAAAGTTCCTCCTTATGTCCAAAAGAGTAATCCCAATCAATAGGTTTTTGCGTTCAAAAAAAGATTAAACAAGGAGATAACTATATTCTAAATATTTCTGACTTTCAATGGGATACTTCATAGGATACGACCCCACCCGGTTTCAATTAATAAATATAATTGGTAACAGAAGGTTCGGGTTTCAAAACGTAAAAGAGAGGCGTACTCGGAGGTGGGGATCTAAGAGTTGTTCTTTAACAACAAACCAGGTATGGCTGTGTTTCCATTAGCCTAAAGCATACACAACTCTAGATATCTCGGCAAGTTCAGAATTTTAATGCATTTGGGGGTTTCATGCAATCTTGGTTAATACAGATGCCCTGCTGTAGCCAAATTTGTTCTTTTGGTAGCATCTTAAAAATAGATAATATTCTATCTCTTTATCTTGATTTTTTTTAGAGCCAAACGATTTTTACACCTGCTGACCCAGGACACATCATCCATTAAAATCTTGCCATGATGTTGCTATACATTTATTTCATTTAATGAGCTATTAGTCGATAAAATAATTAATTTTAGCTTTGAAGGCTGTTTACGAAAGTAATAATAATTGAAGATATCTAGGGGTATTATTCTGGCAGTGAGAAGGAAAATGTTGTTATCTCGGTGGGAACGCTAAAATAACGAAGATAGAAATATTCTATGATGTTTAACGGTTATTTTAGGGTGCTAATAATGTTACAAAATTCGTTTATCACAAAAGATTGGAAAGTAATGAAACTAGACAAATAATGACCGTGATAACCTTTGTGATGTGACCTGCAGTCGATTTCTACATAAAAAGATATTAATCCTTTTATGGTTACCATTTTTTTACTTTATTTGTTTAAAATCCGAACGGTATAAATCAGATAGAATTTAGACCAAGAAAGTTCCTTTTATATAATGTTGAATATTTTTAAAGGGATGGTGGTATTTTAAAGTGCAAGAATAGATTAATGATTGTGCTGTAATAGTGTCACGTTTTAGTGTCTTGCCATCATGTGTGCAAAATCCAATTCTCTGACGTACTCAATTGGTAATCTGTTGAGGACTGGATAAGAGAGAGAGAGAGAGAGAGAGAGGGAGGGAGGGGGGATAACGTCCACTCGACACAAACTAGGTCATTTAGGGACTAACATATGGTTTAATTTTATTTCAATAATTCGCTTGCGCGTAGGGGTCTTTAACAGTGGGAGGAAACCAGAGGAGCCGGAGAAAACCCACGAGGATAGACATGCGACCCAACTCCTTGTCACGTACAACCGGGGAATCGAAACCAGGACGGGATATTCTAATTGTAGGCCGGTTGGGGAGGTTTGAGAATTTCTGGTGTCCCCAGAATGGCCGCTTTATATAAATGAGTATGGGAATACTAACCCTAACCCCTTTTAAGAGGGGTAGAAGGTAAATTGGATTCAAGTTCAGTCTTCTAAAAAGGATTAGGGTTAGTATTCCCCCAAAATACTCATTTGCATAAAGCGGCCTATAATTAGCATCTCCCTTTGAGGACAAGTGCTATTTGCCCGTGCGTATGCGTGCCAGTTGTGATCCGGGTAATAACGTATTGAACGTGTTTCAATTTATCGAGAAGCTGTTCCCGGATTCTAATATAAACAATATACATGGGTGTTTTCGGAGAAATGAAATGAAATGGGGTTTCACGTTCTACTGTTCTGCTCCGACTGGGTAAATGAAGACGGACTGTTTTCGGATAAGTAAGTTGGGGAAAGGTATCACCTATGTAAAACATTTTCCATATAATTGTATCCTGTTATATACATTTTAACAGGGTTTGTAATCTAGTAGAATGCAACATTACGATATCAGTCATGATATTAAAGACATAAATAAGAAAAAAATATTCAGATAATAGATTGTCTTTCAACATATTGGACAATACGCTGATAATGAAGGCGAGATCAACACTGACGGGAAACGTCAAAACGGAAAATGTTCTATTAATTAAACCCTTTTATAGATGGTGATAAGTAGATATCCATCATAACATAATAATAATAATAGTTTATTCATAATGAGAGTCTAGTGAAATAATGATATAATTATATTCCATAATATAACAACCTATACTAAACTGATGACCATTTAGTACCCAACGGAAACGCGTTCATTTTCCACGGGCTTCAGACGGCTGTGTATTATAGTTCATGAAAGCGTTAATCAATGTTTCTTCAAGTTTCAACATTCAGCGTAAAAACAAAGAAATTGGGGTTATAACTGTGAAGACTGACTCGTTTATTTCTGTAACACGGGGGATAATCATATACTCACCGCCTACGTGGATGTATGGTATAAAAAATTTAAAACATTCATGAGCATCTACTTACGGTGGACAAAAACAGCAGACACGAATATAATTTTTCTTAAGAAGGTTCGGTAAAACTAAAGGAGCACCCCATATCTATCTTTTCAGTTTAAAATATATCCTAACTGATACATTAGCACTTAATTAAAGATGCATTATACAAGAGCAGGTCTTTATTTTGGATTTATATGTTGTATAAACTAATATTTAGACATTTAATCACATATTTTGCTCTTGCATGATGCTTGTTTAATTACTGTCTTCACAGATATGTTCGGGTGGTGGTGGTGGGGTTGGGGCGTGGTTACAAACACTTAATTGCCCATTCTAAGTTATCAAAAAACAAACAACCTGAGAGTATTTATGTCCCTACCGGCTTCATCAGAGACTGAATAATCCAAATACGTATAGCTGGAACAAATTCTATTAACTGCTCTCTTGATCTCTGCTGTGTAAAACAGTGTACCGAATTTCCATTAAATACCTCAAAGTTTGACCTAAAGTAATCAATTGCAAATTTATCTTTTTAATCAATCAAGTTGCTTATCGCTACTTAGTTCAAGGTATTGATATAATGAATCTATACTCGGGAGTTTCATCGCTCACACCCAATTAGGTTATCGTGTTTCTTTGTCTCAACAAACCAAATTGCTTATCTCTGCTTAGAACATGCGCATGATCGAACTCTGTCAAGGAATTCGCCTAGTAAAGACCTTCACCAAGTTTAACATTCTACCTCAATTAGAAGGAGAGTGATTGTGTTCCAAAGTCCATTGAACTCTCTACTTTGCCTAAGCAGAAAATGTTCAGCATCGAACTTTGTTAAGTAAGCTATTGGTGTAATAAATACACGAAGTTTCACTACTATCACTCAATTAGAATCAAAGTTGTATCCCAAAGCACCAACCACTCAAATAGCTTATCTCTACTTACCCTAAGCAGAAAATGCTCATCTTCGAACTCTATCAAGGCATTCACGTAAAGAACGCCTACACCAAGTTAAAACATTCTACCTAAATTAGGAGAGTTATTGCGTTTCAAAGTCTCGACCAATCAAATTGCTTACCGTTCTGCTTACCCTGATCAGTAAATGTTCATTATTGATCTTAGTCAAGGTATTGATGTAATGAAATCACACACCAAGTTTCATCAATCTCACTTAATTAGAACTAAAGTTATCGTGTCCCAAAGCATCTACCAATCAAATTACTTATCTCTGCTTATACTCATCTTCGGGCTCCATCAAGGCGATCACCTAATATACACCTACACCAAGTTTGAACATTCTAGCTCAATTAGAAGGAGAGTTATTGTGCCCCCAAAAGTGTGACGGACAGACAGACGCACAGACAGACAGACGAGCAGATAGATCAATTTTAATAGTCGCCTGTTTTCCTCGAAAGGCGGGGGACAAAAAAATAATGGAACCTCACGAAACTCTGTTATAAATCGTGTAACAACCTTCAGTCATATATCTCAAAGTTTATAACAAAAAATAATTTCATTTGTTTAATTTTTTAAGAAAAAATAATAACTCTATAAGTAATAGTCTCATATAATTCGTGATTATAATTGGTCATTACGAAATCCATACCAAATTCTTAATAAATGTAATTTTACCTTAAATTATCTGTCTGTGAATAAGTCCCAACTGTTCATGGCAGACATATCGACACTAAACGAATCATTTTCAAGCAGAATCTGGGTTATGGTAAAAAATAAAAAAAAAAGATTAAACGAGGAAAACCAAGAAGTGTAGAGATTTACATAATGTAATTTGCTCATTATAAAAATCTGGAGGCTATAGCCTAGACAGTCTGTGTAATAAAAAGGTTAGGACTGAATTCAAGAACTTTGTCCGTAATTGTGTAATATCTATACATTCAGACAGGACAAACTACAGACGAATTCACCACAAGTCAAACTTACGTTTTAATTGGCCTTTAACGAACTCGCAATTTATTTTCTGTTGGGTATTCCATTGTATTTAGTCTGGTAGATCGGTAGTTCTCTAAATGTATAATTTTCAATTGGTGTAAAAACTGTAATCTTAGTTTAAAGGATTTTTAAAATTGGTCTATAAAGAAATTGTGATCTTTTATTCACTTCCTTTGAATAGTGAACGGTACTAGACGGTGGTTATCTGAGAATAATGAACGGTATCAGACCCTGGTTATCTGAGAATAATGGTTATCTGAGAATAATGAACGGTATTAGACCTTGGTTACCTGAGAATAATGAACGGTAGAAGACCACGAGTACTATAAGCATCTGAGAATTGTGACTTTACCTTTGTTTTGGTCTGATTGGTTTAACAAAAAGAAATATACGTATTGAAAAGAAATGAAATGAGGTTCAACGTCCTACTGTTAGGCACCGACTGGGCTATTAAAGATGGGCATATGACATACAGTGTGCACTGGGGAAAGCTTTGCCTGGACAGCGTCACTGTGGCCTTGTTTACATGTACGCCAACGTGTATATATAGGGACTTTGGCTTTTTGTCATATCCAAACGGCTATTTATGTTGTATGTTGTCCCTTGCCAGACCCTCCGTCCTGCACCAGTGACAAGGGAGAACACCGGCGAAAAATTCCGATGAACTTTCTTTTCCAGCACCGGGATCGAAGACCGGACCTTAGAGTAGCGAGTCAGTGTCTTACACAGAGTCACCGCTGCTCCCCAAACTTACTGAACTATTCATCTTTTTCTGCTTTGTCGAATCCCGATATCTGCTAGACCGAGAATGTGTTTGAAATGCCATTGATGTTTTCAAATAATTGGGTCACTAGAAATGGTCCCACTGCTGATAACTTCCGTCTAGAATGAAAAGTATCAGAGGGTAAGTCTAAACGAATTAAACTACTAAATGTACACCAACCTCCTTTATGCGGGATGACGTTAGCATACTTTATAATTTTCTGAGGAAATGACCATGCGATTAAGTTTTATTATATGATAGTTCACTTGTTTCTTTCTGTCAGCGTCAATTTCATGGTTAAGTAAAGGGTGATATACAATTGATCCTTCATTGACAGATAAATGGTGGTTTTAATGTAGAAGTCCACAGGTGGTTTTATAAATTATATTATATACTCAGTGTGACAAATTTATATTAGTCAATTTGATGGTTTAGAATCTTATACTGATGACGTCAAGGCTTAATTTGATATTGTTTTATCAGCCATTTTGATGCATTATGTCAAATTTAGAAAGAGAGCTGATTGTTATCGCTATAATAGTTTAAAAAAAGAAAATGAAAAAAGAATATATTGAAATCAACAAAGGATCATAGTTCATTCGAGGATATTACGGAATCGTATGAAACGCGAACTACGTCTGTAGCTGGTACTATATACAGCAATTACCAACCTTCAATCAAGTATCTCAACCTAAAAACAGAATTTTCACTGCTTTTACGTCAACAAAGGAACATAATTCAGTATAAAAAGAAACACCATTTCTGTTTCCATTTCTTTCAAATCGTTTCTTTATTTAAAAGTTACAAAAATAATTAAACTGGTTAAAGAGTTGTCTGTTAACCCATTTGACATGAATTCCATTTAATTGGCCTTTAACAGTCCAATTTCTAGACAGTAACGCTTAACGTCAATAAATCTATAAACCAAATTTCAGTAATTATTTCCATTTCTTTGATTTCGTTTCTTATTTTAAAACTTTAAGTACAGAGTTAAACCGAACTAAATAATCCTTAATTGACCAATTGACGAATTTCAGTAATTATTGCCATTTCTTTGATATCATTTCTTAATTTAAAACTTTAAATACAGAGTTAAACGGAACTAAATAACTCTTAATTGACTAATTAAGTTCAATCTTCTTTTTCTGCGTCGCATTTATTTTAAAAATTTTATTATTATTATATTTTGTTTTATTGGGTGGTGTTTATTTTATTTCGTTATAATTTAAAATGTTATATGGTAAATACTCTATCCTGGTATATTTAACGAGGAATGTACTATATTAGGGTGTGTGCGGGGGGGGGGGGTGCGTGTGTGTGGGTGGGAGGGGGTAATATGTAAACCGGGGTCATCATTTAATTCCATATATCTCAGGATTTATTGCTCTGGTAAATCTATGAGGAGAACAGTTCTTCTAAATGAATAATTTTCAATTGGCCTAATAAAATACTCTATAGTTTATGTTTAAAGGGGTTTTGTTTACAAAAATTTGGTATAAAAAAAGAAATTGTGATCTTTCAAGCACTTCCTCTGAATAATGAACGGTACTAGACGGTGATCATCTGAGAATAATGGTACTAGACGACGAGTATCTGAGAATAATGAAAGGTGCTAGAAGATGAGTATCTGAGAATAATGAACGGTACTAGAAGATAGTGTCTGAGAACAATGAATGGTACTAGACGACGAGTATCTGAGAATAATGAAAGGTATTAGACGATGAGTATCTGAGAATAACGAACGGTGCTAGAAGATGAGTATTTGAGAATAATGAAAGGTGCTAGAAGATAGTATCTGAGAATAATGAACGGTACTAAAAGATAGTGTCTGAGAATAATGAATGGTACTAGACGACGAGTATCTGAGAATAATGAATGGTACTAGACGACGAGTATCTGAGAATAATGAATGGTGCTAGACGAAAAGTATCTGAGAATAATGAATGGTGCTAGAAGATGAGTATCTGAGAATAATGAACGGTACTAAAAGATGAGTATCTGAGAATAATGAATGGTACTATACGACGAGTATGGTGCTAGACGATGAGTATCTGAGGATAATGAATGGTGTTAGACAGTGACTTCACCTTTCTTTCGGTCTGCGAAAAAAAATATACTTACTGAAATTGGATTTAACGTTCCACAGTTCTGTGCCGACTGGGCTAATGAAGACGGGCGTGTGCCATGCAGTGTGCTAAAGGAGTGTGGGGGTGGGGCAGACAGCGACACTACGGCCTACTCTGTCATGGGTTGATTTACGAACACGCCAACGTGTACACGGGATCTCGGTTTTTCGTCCGATCCCAACAACTATACATTGTCCCTTACTAGGCCATCCGTACTGCACCACTGATAAGACGGAACCACGACTGGAAATCCCAACCAACTTTCTCGGCCAATACCGGAATCAACACAGGACCTCCAGGTTATATTAGTGGGCAACGTCTTACTCACTGAGCCACCGCGGTTAACTACACTATTTATCTATTTCAGCTATGTTGAATCACGATATCTGCCAGTACACGGATGTCATTGATGACAGAATCGGGTCACTATAAATGGTTCCACAACTAATAACTTCCGTCTTTACTTCGGGCCACTTGGATCTAAAAGGCCTTCCTTTAAGCAACTGTTTCTGGGTTTATTTACAAATCAGTTGGGCAATTACTCGTACCAAAAATGCCCCGAGATCAAACGTGTCAGCTTTACGTCCAACGATGGAACAGTGAGCACAATATAGACTGCAGACAAGTGTGTTCTAACAAGCAAACCTTGTTGACAAATTAAAAACTTTGCGTGAAGAATGTTACATTTCGGCACTTTGTGTTTCAAAGTACGACACTGGGTCATTGACAATACATTGGTTCCATTATGTGTGGCGGAAAATGTGCTGCGACTCTCTCTTCACGAAAGATCGTTGACTTTTTTTGTCCAACACAGCTCTAAATCGATTTTAGTACACCTTTGAATGTCTCGCATTTGATAATCTTGACAAATTGGATATTGGAAAAATATATAGCAAATTCAAGAATGTGTGTTCATGCGACTGAACTACCCGCATTATAGAGGGTAAATTCAAAATAAACCATTACCTTTAAATAACATGCTGATAAAAAAGGTGTTTCACAGTAGATTGTATCTCAGTTTTAGAAAAAGTCGTAAAAAAATTCAAATACACCGTTAAGATCAAACACCATTAACGGTACTAGTGGAAATAGTTATTTAAATCGACCATTTCTGAAACAAGTTATTAGCTCCTGTTGATTTCACGTGTCAATCTTAATACGACTGTAGTCATTTTAAACATGCTTGTTTCCACCAACAATAAGTTTACTGAGTTTATGTAACCTATATATACCTCTATAAACAATGGTTGCCATATAATTGGTGATTCAAATATCACATCCCAAATTCAGTTAATAAATTAAATTAATGGCGTCTTGTATGGATGTCTAAGGTATTCTTTTTACGAGAATAAGTCTTCCAGGGAAGACATTTCGACTCTTAAATGAATCATTTTCAAGCTTCATGTGATTTAAGTGAAGCAGAAACTCACGAATTGTCCAAAATAAAAAGAGTTAAACGATCCAAACCAAGGCGTCTAGAGATTTACGTAATGCCCATTAAAAACATCTGGATGCTAGCTGAGACAATCTGTATAATAAAAGGATACGATTGAATTCAAGAACTATGTCCGTAATTTTATTGTGTAATATCTATTCAGACAGAACCAATTCGACATAATGAAGTACTACAAAATAATTTACTTCATATCGATATGTAAACCAAAACAAACTTAGATTTTAATTGTCCTTAAACGATTTATTTTTATAGTTAGTTTTCCATTGTATTTAGATTAGATCTATAGGGAGAGAGAGAGAAAAATGGGGTTTAACGTCCACTCGACACAAACTAGGTCATTTCGGGACTAACATATGGTTTAATTGTCACGTACAACCGGGGATTCGAAACCACGCCATTTGACTCAATGACAGCCCGT